CAAGTGGGAACTGGGGATGGGGATTTTAATATTTCAAAGCTTAGGGATTTGCTGGTATTTATTACGACGTATTCATTACGAGGATAATTCCCTTTATGTTTATTACAGAAGTGGGCTGTGTATCATAAGAGCAACGTAAATCTATCTAGAATGCATGAAGGGACAGGCGGACAAATCTATCCACTGCAGGTTATCCAGAAGAATGAGCTAGTGTACGTTTGATGAGTCCTTCCTCTCTGCACTTAATAACATATAAGAAAATAACACGTCAAATATATATATATATATATATATATATATATATAAAACAACTAAAGTGTTTAATAAGCTGTGTATAGAGGTGTTAGATATATATAAAGAAAACTGTAAAATCCTTGTTGGTTTTAGTTGAGCAACCTTCACTGCTTAAAATGGTTCTTTTTTAGCTTGTACAGGCATTTTAGAGGTTGGCAGTCATTTAATTTGCTAAATCTAAATGTAAAATACTTGGTTGGCATGAATTGCTAGTATAGTATAAATGGATGTGATCAGCATTATTCTTTTGTTTTCTTTTATTTGATTGATAAAGGAATATAAGAGATAAAAACTAACAAGTAATTAAACAGCAAAATCAAGAATAAACACTGGCTACAAGGTTTTGAAGTTCCTGCACGTCATCCCTATATATCTCTCTTAAGCTAATTAGACCTAGATACATGGGATGAAAAGAATGAGTAGTTAAATTGTTGGTAGTTTAAAATGTGGTGCATCCCATATTAAATAAAAAGATTTAATTATTGATAAATAAAATTAATTTTTGTATTACTTTTATTCATATTTTAAATAATTATGTTTGAAAAGAAACAATTATCATATAACAAATAGTCAATTTGAATATAAATAGAATATTATTATTCATAAAGATCATGATTATACAAAAGGTCATAACCTTTTTAATAAAAATTTATGTCTGTTCATTCATTATAAAGAGATCCTTCAATATAACTATTTTCATTACTTTTAGAGTTTTAAGGCTTTGTTGTATCTTAGAAGTATAATTACCTTTAAGAAAGTGTTTTTCATGTCTCAAAACCAAAATTATTTTTTATTATTTTTATTCTCTTTTTTATTTTTTTCTAACAATTTAAATACAATTATGAAATTCATATTTCACATGAGGAAGATATGAGGAAAAGAAATTGGCAAAGTTGGCAAAATTGACTTATGAGACAAGCATGGAAAGCTTCAACTACCCAAATAGTTTTTTGGTGAAATAAATACTAAATACAAGATAAGTTTCTTGTTATTATCTTTTGAGTTTTTGCATTCTGCTAAAAGAATTGATGATTAATAATTTATAAAAGACTTTGAGTCTTATTGAATTTTGCTTTGTTTATTGACTATTCTTTTGATCTTTTGATTCTAAATTAAAATTTTAATTTATGATTCATAATTTTATAGTATGTTATATGTGGATTTTCTTAATCATGACATCGAATGGTCATGAGCATAAAATGGACATGGAGTACTTGCTAACTTTGGTTATGAATTTTTTATAACCTTGTTATACTTTTGGTTAGGCCATGGTTATGAAATCAAAATGATAAATTCTCAAGAATTACTTTAAGGCATAAAAGAAGTTATGAATTTATAAATCTTTTGAAAAAGAAGCAAGTATATATGTTCTTATTATAAAATCATATTTTATAGTCCATATTCCATGATTGCATTTTATTGACAACAAAATAATGCATGATTCATATTATTTGATTTATATAATATTATTTCAATAAGAAATAAACATATTATCTAAGATAACTTCAATTCAATTGGAGAAGTTATATAATTCTTTGTAACTAGTTAAAATGCTTTTTATTTATTTGGTGAAAAAATTTCATATATTTTATAATTTGGACACAAAATTTATAGTATTGTGTAGTTATGCATAAAATTTTGATTGTTTTTAATAACATGAACCATGATAGATATGGCTTTAGTATTCATGATAAAATAATTTTATAAGTATCTATATGAGTTGATATATGAGCTGGTATGAAAGTCTCAAAAGGAGATTATTGAAAGCATGAGTTTACTTTAAAAAAAAAAAAGAATTGAGATTGATTATATTTGACATCACTCTTATTGAAGTATTCTCTCATATTCAGTTTTAATAAAAGTTTTGAAACTTTTAGAGAAAAAAATTAAAATATAGAGTATTTGCTAGTTATCTATCAGTACGGGTGGATTTGGATGCCTCCTAAAAAAAAACCCACCAAATAGTAAAATGATAAATGAAATAGCAATTTGATTAAGTATATATGATATATTGATAATTGAATAGGACATTCTTTAACAAAAGAATGCATATTTGTACATGTTGGGGGTGATAAAAATCAAAAGAAATAAAAATTTCAACGGTAGTGTTGTAAGATTTTAGTATAATTTTATGAGTATGTTATATAAGCTAATAAGTTTAGTATACTTGTAAACACCCAGTTTTTCATATAGGGTTAAAAAAATTAATTAAAATGAATGAATAAAAATAGAGTTTTATTCCTAATAAAATTGATAGATATAAATTTTTTTTATTGAAAACTGGATCAATTTTAAAAATGAGGATAGATAGATCAAAAGATAGGATTTTTGAAATACATGAGGATTTTGAAATCTTCATCTAATTGGGTGAATCAAGGTTTACAAAAAACCACAGCAATCACATAGAAAAATGAGGGAAGAAGAAAAGATAAAAGGGGTGAAAAAAAAAAGTGATCAGAATCAAGAATTTTTTTTTTTTTGTAAAAGGTTCTTCATGAATTCGTGGCATTAATTCGTTTTTTTTGGAATTTTTCTACATTTTTTTGCAAATTTTTTGGAAATTCCATAATCCATTGAATTTTTCGGCAAAAATTCAAGTTTTTTGATGACTTTTCCAACGAAAAACCTAGTTTTCGGTAATAAAACCTAGAATCAATGATCTTTTCAATGATATTCAATGGAAAACGATGACCAAAAATCACGTAGAGTGAAAATGAAAACATTAGAATGATTCATATGAAGAAAATTAGGGATTTTTGCCTTTTATACCTATAAGAAATGATGCCATTTTGAAAGGTTAAAAAATGGGTAGGATCTGTATGTCACCCCAAAATCCGACACAACCTGTAATGAATAAGACCTGCCAACCCATTTCTTTCCTTTATGCTGAGCCATTGAGCTGATTCGCACATTGAGCCGTTCCAACCGCTTCTATCTCTGGATTCACATCCCAGTCGAGCTAAGCTGAGCCACACTAAAGGTTTTTTTTGTTCTTTTTTTCTTTCTTTCTTTTCCATTTAGTTTTATTATTTATTTATTGATTATTTTTTCCTTATTTATTTATTGACTAAATTGAAATAATTTATTTATTTAATTAAACATCTTTAAATTTTCAATGGTTTTTTTTTAAAGATAAAGATTCAAAAAAATTTTTTTTGAAGAAAAGTTAAAAGTATCAATTTTCTTTGAAAATAAAATTTAAAAAAAATGCATTATTAAGGAAGAGTTGAAAGTATCAATTTTCCTAAAAAATAAAATTTTCAAGAAAAACATTTTAAGGAAAAGTGGAAAGTATCAATTTTCCTTGAATATAGAAATGTCAAAAATGCTTTAAGGAAAATTGATACTTTCAACTTTTCCTTGTATAAAAGCATGAGTTTTTTTTTCTTATAAAACAACATAATAAAAAAAAGATCTCTATCAAAAGTTAAAGCATTATTCCTTTTTTTCTTATTTTTTTTAAATGTTAAATAATATGTGACGGAGCCTTTACAAGAGAAACAATAGTTTTCTTGTATACTCTTAAGGTGAGAGAATTTTCTTAATTTTTTGTTAAAAGTATTGGAGTCAATTAAGAATAATTTTCAATAATTAACTACTTGATAAAATTTTTAAGGCTTAATGGATAACATGAAATTGAGCTGGTACCATCTTTCGATGGGCGTTGTAGGGATGCTATAACCTTTCTCACATGTAATTGTACTCTCAAACCTAGTTCTGGTTTCGTGACATCGAATCAACCTTTCAAAGATACCTAAGTCAAACTTAGAATTTTTATTTAAAAAAGGATAGATTCAGTCAGGTGGCCAATCGCACCTAAACAAAATAGATTGGTGGTGACTCCTCAAGTTAATGTATAGCGATAGGTCCACGGATCTAGACGTTATGACAGTTTGATGACTCCATTGAGGACCAAATTGAAAGTTAGGCTAGAAAATAAATTCGTCTTGTCCAAAAAACCTAATAAAATTGAATTCTTTGTAAGGACTTTTTTCATTTATTTTATTTATTTATGTTGCTAACTATGTCATTCATATGCATGTGCATAACATGGGCTCTATACCTGAGCTTCATCCTTCTAGGAGGGAGTAAAGTACCTATGCTTTCATGAGGTTTTAATGCCTCCACAGTGGCTAGCGAAATACTTCCACTCAAATTGAACCTTTTCTGCTTATAGCCTGTAATGGGTGAGGATTTTGGTGCATTACTAGTCTGTGATGGACAATGATGTAAGGAACAATTTGGAACCTTTAGACTATCAACCTTAAACCACATATAATGAACATGAGGAACCTAACCTGTAGTTAGAGCCTTACCTTCCCTTTTTGTAGAAAAATCCAACAGCTAAGTTACATTTTTACAAAGATTGATTTTTCTTGAATAGAAATTAACTATTGTATATGTCATGTTGCATGAATTGTCATGATAAGATGCATGTTAGTTGAATTTTTTTTCTTTTCTTCATCTAATTTTTTCAGTTAAAACAAGATAACATTAGGCTACATATATTTTTGGCATTCATTTCGCATGTGTTAACTTGAAATCATGTTAAGATTATTTTTATAGTCTTGCTTTCATGACATGAACATGTAGTAATGCAAGCATCTTAATTTGTGGTAATCAAAGGTTCAAGGATAGCTCGATCGTCGACAAATTCAAGCCAACCTGCACATCACTCGTATAATACTCGATCGCGAGCAAGGCAAATGGAACAAGAACAAAGTACCCGTATAGACAAGATCGAGAAAGCTCAAGAGGAGATAAAAATAGAGTTAGCAAAGATGATGGAAATGCTAGAGAAATTAGATAAAGGTAAAATAGTAAAAGATACCCTAAATTCAAATGAGAAATGGGATATTGTGGATCTTCTACACCTTTTGGGGTTTGGCCCAAATCAAGGCCAATCTCTTCTAAATACACAAGCCTCACGGATGCCATTTTCTGAGGCATATCCTGAAGTACCATTTCATAGTTACACTAACCCTACCTTTGGGGCAAAAATGTATGATCCAATTGAGGTCCCTGCTTTTGATGATCTTAAAGAGAAAGAAAGATTGAAGTTGAAAACTTCTAAGGTGATTAGTGCTACAAAATGGCTGTCCATGCTTATGATGAAAAACTACTAATACATGTGTTTCAAGATAATCTCACTGGCTCAGCTGCGAGGTGGTATGTCCAGTTAAATTGAACCTGTATCCATTTTTGGAATGATTTGGCAAAGACATTCATCGTTCAATACCAACACATTATAGACTTAGCTCTAGATCATATATCTCTACAAAATATAGAAAAAAAATCTTTTGAAAGCTTCAAAGAGTATGCACAAAGGTGAAAAGATGTAGCTGCTCAAGTTCAATCACCTCTTACTAAAAATAAAATGACTATTTTATTTGTGAGTACTTTAAAGCTTTCATATTATGAAAAAATGATTGAAATGCCACCAAGAATTTTACCGTTATAATGATCTCTGGGAAATGATAGAGAATGCCATTAAGAGTGACAAGCTTGAAGAAAGAAAGACTTCTAATACAAAAAAGGGTGAGTTGTCCAAAAGAAAAGAAAGTGAAGCTCAAGCTATAAGTTTGGAAGAACAACAATTCAGAAGTTATGCCCCATACCCACAGTTAGTATATCCTACATATTATCTAACCATTAATCTTGTTGCACCAGTTTTTTATCATCCTGTTTCACAACTAGCTTACCAATCAACTTTTCAAGCACCCACATATAGGTCCAATTCTATTGCTACCCCAGCTTCAATGCCTAATAACCAAGTGGCTGGTTTGAATAGATCTCGAAATAACCAAGAAAAGGCACACATTGACCTTATCCCTATGACTTACACTAAGTTATTCCCTGAACTAGTTAAAAATAACTTAGTATATACTGTTATTCTAGAACCATTAAAGCTATCCTATCCCCAATGGTATGATGCTAATACGCCACATGTGATTATCATAATGGGAATGTGGGTCATTCTATAGAAACTTGCCCTACTTTCAAGCACAAAGTACAAAGTTTGATCCGAAAAGGCTTGGTAAGCTTCGATGAATCAAAAAAATTAGATGGCAATAAAAATTCTTCACTTGATCACACAGAGGCATAGTCTTGAGGAAGGACAAGGATGTTGATACTGGCTAAAAATTGCTTGGATTTCTTTTAGAGTAATGCCAATATTTCTTTTATGTAATAAGATTTCATTCTTTATCATTTTAATAAAAGGTAAGTTGATGCATTTTATTACATTTCTCTTTCATCCAAATCATTATTTTTTGCTACTTTCCATATCCATTTTATTCCTATTCTCAAATTTCAAATAGTGAATGTTTGGACAAGTATAAATAATAATTTTAGGATTTAATTTTGAAAACTCATTTATATTGATCCATAGAGATTATTTGAATAAAAAAAAATAATAATCTATGAGCAGATTATGTCTTGAAAGCATCTAACTAGTTTGTCTTTGTTCAAAATATGGTCCTCAAAAAAGACATTCACATTGGGGATGAAAAATGGCCATATTTCTTTTACTATTCGAAAAACCATTCATTGCTACCCCTTTGAGCCTATTATAATTTTTTTTTTCTAAAGAAACATGACCAAGGATCACCCTCCACACTGGGGGTAATTTTTGAAAAAAAAAAGAGGCAAAAGATCGTGAAGGTTCTCAAATAGAAAGAAAAAGAAAGAAAAGCAAAAAAAAAAAAAGAGGAAAAATAAAAATAAATGCCACACATGATTTGGGGCAAAGTAATGAAAGTTTTTTTATAAGAGATCAAATGAAAAAAAGAAAAACTAATGAAATGATGTGAAATGGGGCAAAATGCCAAATTGCATCATATGATGAAAAATGATCCTTTGGTTTTGAACCCTTTAAACACATGTTTTGAGCCTATTTTATCCATTTCTTTCATAATTCCTCACCATGGCCTACATTACAACCTTTAAAAGTCCATTTGGATTAAATATGAATGCTCTTATTGAATGATCATATGTTAGACTAAGGCATGCTACTGATGGAATGACAAAATCATGCTTCATTGCTCTCGAGATTGATGTGGAAGAGATATCAATAATGGGTGAAAGAATAAAAGAAAGAAAAAAAAGAAAAATAAAAATGGAGAGAAAAGGAAAACTCAAATTGTAAACCTGAAAAGGGCAATTTGGGTAAAAAGAGATTTGAGCTTAAAACTAGAATAACAGTTCAATGTATAGAAGATCAATGTTATCTGAAGATCCTTTGGAACTGGGGTAAAATGTGAGAGCTCAAAATGATTTTGAAAGTCAATGGAATGAGTTTTTGAAAAGAATCTTCGATTAATGTTAGAAATTGTCTGAATATCCATTATTCGGATATTATTATACCATTCAAACACTTACCCTAGTGGCATGCTTTGAATTTGTTCCTTGATTTATTTATTTTTGTACCAAACTTGTTTTTGTATTGATTTTCTTTTCTCTCAATTCACCTTACCCTCACTCATTTTTGTATCCCTGGAATAAATCAAGAAAATATATGATTGCATGGTGCTTGTCATGAATTGAAATGATAATCAATGAATGAGAATATTCATAAAAGATTCATGCATTCTTTTGAAAAGAAATCCAAGATGATAGGGATAAAAAAATGAAAAAGATTATTTGAAAAGGCAAATGTGGTACCCAAGTGGTGAATATGGTGATGGATCAACCAATTTAATATGTGAGTTATGACCAAATGCTGGAAATAACATGGTCAGTTAGCGAAATTGGTGAATTGCTTCTAAAAATGTTACTACTGGGAAGTTAAAAAGGAAATGTGAGATGGTGAAATCTTGAGAACCTTATTACCACAATCAATTAGAATGTCATGGTGTTGATTTTTGGGGCATTTACATTACATTGCATTCGCATCATGGTTTAATCACGCATTTGCATCATGTAGTGAACATGTGAATCATGGTTTAGAGTATGGCATCTGCATTGTTGTGAGAAATTGGGTTGCATTCACATCATTATCATACAAAATTCTGACTTTGGTAGGGGAATTTTGAACGTTGAAACTTTAAAAATTTTCATGATGAGATTTTTGACGAGGAAAACATCTCAATTTTTTTTAAAGTTGTGAAACTTTTTGAAGAAACCTTTTCAATGATGAGGATGATTTGTAAAATCTCCAAGAATAATCTCTAATAATTCAAATGAGAATCTTTGAGTTTTAAACTTTTTTTTTATGTGAATGCCTAGAGTTTTTGAATCAGAATCCTAGAAATTTTGGATGAAATTCTAAAATTTTTGAATGAGAACCTTTGAAATTATAGTTGTGAAGCTCTAGAAGTTTTCTCCAATGTGAATTCAAAAATTTTATGAATCTCCAATTTGAAAGTCTTACGAGTCTTCAATTCTTACGAATTTGAATGTCTTGCAAATTTTCAATTCTTACGAATCTGAAAATTTTGTGAATCTTTATTTCTTGCGAATCTGAAAATTTTTGCAAATCTTCATTTCTTGTGAATTTGAAAGCCCTGCGAATCTTCATTTCTTGTGAATCTGAAAGCTCTACGAATCTTCAATTCTTGCAAATTTGAAAACTTTGTGAATCTCTAATTTTTACGAATCTAAAGGTTTTTACGAATCTGAAAGCCTTGCGAATCTCCAATTCTTACAAATTTGAAAGTTTTTGCAAATCTGAATGTCTTGCAAATCTGAATGTCTTGCGAATCTCCAATTCTTACAAATCTAAAATTTTTGTGAATCTCCAATTCTTGCAAATTTTTAAGTCCTGTGAATTTTGCAATTGCAAATCTTTGAATTCCAAATTTGTGAAATTTTTTTCTGAATTGTGAATCTTTGAGTTTCAACTTGCATTATGAATTTTCAATTAAGAAATTTTAAAATGCTTCAAATCATGAACCTTTGAAGGTTTAAAATTTTGTAATTGTTGTAAAGTCAAACTTTGATTCCATCCAAGTCATTTTGTTTCGAATTTTGGCCTATGCCAGATCCTTTTTCAGTTCAATCCAAGTTATTCGTTTTAGACTTTAGTTTCATCTAGGTCATTTTATTTTGAATTTTGACCTACACGAGATCCTTCTTCGGCTTGGTCTAAGCTATTTATTTCAGACTTCGATTCAATCCAGGTATTTGTGGTTTGGATTTTGGTCTATGCCAGATCCTTCTTTAAGTCATTCCATTTTCAGACTCGATTCAATCTATGCCAAAGTATTTTCTTTCCTGAATGAAGTTATGATAGGTGTCTACATCTTTACATAATTTATGTTTCACAGAAAATATGCAAAGAGGGGCAACTGGAGACACCAAGTTTTTTAGATAGGGTTAAAAAAATTAATTAAAATGAATGAATAAAAATAGAGTTTTATTTTTAATAAAATTGTCGAATATAAATTTTTTTTTTTGAAAACTAGATCAAAAAGGGATTTATTTTTTAAAAAATGAGGATAGACAGATCAAAAGATAGGGTTTTTGAAATATAAGAGGATTTTGAAATCCTCATCTAATCGGGTGAATCAAGGAATATAAAAACCCCCAGCAATCATACAAAAAATATGGGAAAAAGAAAGGATAGAAAGGGAGAAAAACATGAGTGATCAGAATCAAGATTTTTTTTGTAGAAAGTTCTTGGGGAATTCGTGGTATTAATTGGTTTTTTGGAATTTTTTTGCAAATTTTTTGGAAATTCCATAATCCATTGAATTTTTCTATGAAAATTCAAGTTTTTCGATGACTTTTTTGGTGAAAAACCCAGTTTTTGGTAATAAAACCCTAAAATCGACGATCATTTTAGTGATATTTAATGGAAAATGATGATCGAAAATCGCCTAGAGTGAGAAACAAAAGAGATGAGAGAGAGAGCGAGAGAGACATCTGAAGAAAATGAGGGATTTTTGCCTTTTATACCTATAAGAAACGACACCGTTTTGGAAAGTTAAAAAATGGATAGGATCCGCGTGTCGCTCGAAATCTGACCCAACCCATAGCTCGTAAAACTCACCAACCTGTTTATTTTCTTCCTACTGGGCCATTAAGCCGAGCTGCACACCGAGCTATTCTAACCGCTTCTGTTTCTGGAGCCACG